ATATTTTATCTTTTTGTATACTAGTGACTTTTTTTTTTTTTTTTTTAGAGAGCGAGAGATGGGGGGAGAGACAGCGGGAGAGGGAGAGAGAGAATCTTTTTTTTTTTTTTAAGATTTTTATTTATTTATTTGAGATAGAGAGAATGAGAGAGACAGAGAGCACATGAGAGGGGGGAGGGTCAGAGGGAGAAGCAGGCTCCCTGCCGAGCAGAGAGCCCGATGCGGGACTCGATCCAGGGACTCCAGGATCATGACCTGAGCCGAAGGCAGTCGCTTAACCAACTGAGCCACCCAGGCGCCCCGGGAGAGAGAGAATCTTAAGCAGACTTCCTACTGTATGTGGAGCCCGACCTGGGCTTGATCTCAAGACCCTGAGATCATGACCTGAGCTGAAATCAAGAGTTGGACGCTTAACACACTGGGCCACCCGGGTGCCCTTACTAGTGACTTCTTAAAGAGCCAGAAAGAGGGTGCTTGGGTGGCTCAGTTGGTTAAGCGACTGCCTTCGGCTTGGGTCATGATCCTGGAGTCCCGGGATCGAGTCCCGCATCGGGCTCCCTGCTCAGCGGGGAGTCTGCTTCTCCCTCTGACCCTCCCCCCTCTCATGTGCTCTCTCTCATTCTCTCTCTCTCAAATAAATAAATAAAATCTTTAAAAAAAAAAAAGAGCCAGAAAGAGACTTGATTTGAGAATGGAATAGACTCCAGGTTTAGCAGAAAGATGGAACAAGGGAAGAAGCTAGTAAAACTAACCAAACCAACCAACCAACCAACCAGACAACTGACCCAAAGCTTCTTAAGTCCTCTCAAGTCTCTGAGTCAATGCTTATGATAGGAAAATTACTGTTGCCCTTGTTAACCAGTGAATTTGACCTTGATCCCTGGTAAAATTCTTAAATAGATGCTTTATAAGAACATGTGGAAGTCTCATAAGGAAATATCACCAGGAGCTATATAATGCTAATTATAATGTCAAACCTCACATAATGGCCCTTATTGGTAGTATTAATAATTTAGTAGATCAGGAGAAAGGAGTAGAAAAAGGACATAATTTTGATAAAGCTTCATAGAAAAGATGATGACTGTGAGCTTAAAGATAACACTTTTAGTTTGGCTACTATAGACCAAAATTATTCATTAATGATTCTGAAAATCTGGAGAAACATGTCTAGTGAAAAGGAGAAGGCTTTGTCTTCTTGTCTTCTTCACCTGTTTTGGCAGTGAGCTCGATAAAGAGTAAATATGCATGGCTCTCATCAAACTTCAGATGATATGAAACAAAGAGAGGAAATCAATATTATAAGTGATAGAATTATAATCCAAAATAATCTTTTCTTTGGAATGCTAGACTAAAAACAAGATGAAATGTAACAGGGGCACCTGTAAAATCTGCTTGTAGGCTTTAACTATCAGTTGAAAAGTAGCCATCTATGTGAACATGATTTGAGATTTTTATTGACTATTATGAGTTAAGACTTTGGAACTGTGAAGTATGAGGAACATATGAAGAATGTGGACATGTTTACTCTGGAAATGACAAAACAATGGGAGACTATGATAGCTATTTTCAAGTATTGGAAGGATTCTTCCTGCCCTCCCCCCCAGGACTTATTTATTTTTATAGCTGGAAGTTTGTACCTTTTGACCACCTTCATCCAATTCCTTCCTCCCTCCCCCTACCTCCCCTCACCCCACCCAGAAGGATTCTTATGAAGAGACTATAGTTAGCCCATAGGTGATCAGAGGGCACAACATGGACCAAGTGGTGGTGGTGGTGGTGGAAAACCCATACGCACCTACCTGTGCTGGTTTCAAAGAGGTGATTTTTATGGGGCTGACTATTGTTATTTATAGCATGATTTTTGGGTATTAAAATAAAATAAGGCTCACTGGACAAGGTCAGAGGGGAGGAAATGAACTTTCTTCCTAGAGGCCCTAGAAGTTGGCAAATAATGGGTCCCTTCTTTGAAACCTACTGGAACAAACATTAGACATTTTAAAAATATCACAAGCTCTCTTCCAAATTTGTTTAGGCTGGGTCAGAGGTGGTTCTCTCCATTGGCAGAAAGTAGTGTTGAGCCAGATGAACCCTAGATACTCAGATTCAGTGGAAAGGGAGCCTGATCTGCTGTGGGCTTTGAGTCAACTCCTTCTTTCCTGGTTGTCTTACCTCCAGACTAAATTCTTCTACCGGCTGCCAGCTCTGTGGATTTTCTGCTTTTCTCTTATGGAGGCTCCATGTTATTGGCTTCTCCTTACTCCAGGGTGCTCACAGAAGACTGTTGTCCTTATCCTCTATGTGCTTCTATAGACACTACTGCCTTTTCTGAGAGCAGGGTAGCCTCCTTCCCTTATGGGGGTTGAGGAAGAGCTTCCTTGGGGAGGAGATGTAGCTTGGGGCCACCTGCAGCAGCTGCATCTAGGTTTTGGTTCCAGGGGAATGTTCTGGTCCACCAGGGACCACATCCAGGTGTTTCACTCAAATCTAATGACCTCTTTCTTATGAGATAGGAAAAGACTGGAAAGACATAAGGATAGCCACAATTAAGAACATTTATCTAATATTTTATAACTCACAAAGCAAATATTAACTTATTTAGTGAGTATCTGATGCTCAGAATGAACCCCAAGGTGAAATGTGAGTATGCTGTGATTTGTTCCTGTACCATTGGGATGGATTATCTAGAATTTGACTTCTAATGGCTAGATTAGCAGTCTTTCTATTGTGGCATGATTTAGGACCTGGGGTCCTGCTTTAATCTCTTAGCAGGGAAGAGGCAGGAGGAAACTGCTATATAATTCTGTAGATAATTTGTTCTGTTAGTTTGATAATTTAGCATCACGGATTAATATAAAACCAGGTCAGGTGCCATCAAGGTAGGAGTGCCAGATACTAAATGCAGCTGAATGACAAATGTGAAGAAGGAACCCTGTTGCAGAAATACAGCACCGAATTCCTTCCACATGAGGCCAGGAAAAGAACAGCACAGGGTCATGGCAGGAGCTGGGTCTTTCCAGTAACAGTCTAGGATGGCCCTTCCTGGAAGAAACTGGACCAGTGTCTTACCTGACAGGTGAAAGGCAGAGTGGAAAAACTCGGATGAGGAAAAGGTGACCTGCAAGGAATTAATTAGTATATTCTCTTTGAGGGAGTAGTTGAGAATAAAATATGTCTGCCCATGGGTTGTGTAAAGAGCCTGAGGGATATGTCAGGTGAGAAAGAGAAGAATAAGAGCCTTTCTACCTAGAAATAAACCTAGTGTTTATTGACTTAGAATTTATGATAATTGTAATAAAAATATCCAACGTGTACTTAAAATTTATTTTAATTTCAGCTCTTTTTCTGAAGTGTTATCTGTGAATTTAAAGTGGAAATAAAGGATCTATATGCTGTTTTCTAGGTATCAGATTAAGATTTTGTATAAAAATGTGTCATAACATTAATTCAAGAAATAATTACCGAGTATTTATGACCCGTCAGGCACTGTTCTAGACTCTGGTATACAGCAATGAACAACAACAACAAAATTGGTTTGTAGAGTTATCTATTTACTACTTTCAGTTACCCATGCCTTGATGATGAGTTCATATTACCTGATAAGACAGCCCCTTCACCCAGAGCCAGCTCTCTGGAATGCAGAAATCCTGCCTGGTGAAAAATTCACCTTCATAGGACAAGATACTTTTTTTTTTTTTTAAGTTTGTTTGTTTGTTTATTTATGTAATCTCTATACCCAACATGGGGCTTGAACTCACGACCCCGAGTTGGCTCCACAAACTGAGGCAGCCATGTACCCCTAGGACAAGATTCTTGTATCTTTCATCCCAACTCACTGATACAAACATCAATTATGAATGGAAAGGATATAGGGAAGAGGATGTGGTAAAACCAGATAGCAAAATAACTCTACTGAAAGAGACTATTCATTGAATAGTCTGTATGTGCTAGGCTCTCTGATCAGAGTTTTACAAAACTATCTCCCTGAAGCCTCATAAGAATCATGGGAGGTAATTATTATCATTATCTACAGTTTATATGTATCAGGCAACCACAACCCAGAGAGGTCATGTACGCTGTGCAGGATCATGAAGTTAGTAAGTGGGAGAGCCAGAATTCAATACTGACATTTCATAGTGTTGCCTTTGGATAACTGAAGAGATGGGTAAATATAAGAAAAAGAAGAAAACCGTGATGGGTTGGCCTGGAAATATGATTAAGCTAGTCCATAAAAGCTATCTTCAGATGCTTGCTATCTCCTGATTGGAAGTATTGTGGAACAGACACACAGTCTGTACACAGATGTACAGACATACATAAAATGTACCTAATTTGGATCCTGTTGATTGCCCAAATTTCATCCTGGAAAAAATGTAAAATGAGTATTATCAAACAATGGCCTCAGTCATTAACAAACAAAGTCTCAATAAAGCACTCTTAAAATACCTCACTGTGAGCAGTGAGACCTCCTGGTGAACCCTGCAGGATAAACTTGTTGCACAATGTGTTTGCAGATAATTACATGAACTAGTATTCTCAGTAAGGCTGTTAGTTAATCCAATAAAATGTTGGAGGATATTTAATAAAGATAAAGTTTGGTTTTGGAATAACTGATCATCCTGCATCATACTTCCTGAAGGTAAGTAGATAGGCCAGTTGTCTTTCAAGACAGTTGGATCATGGCATTAAAAACATGAGAAGAACACACACACATTAAAACAACTCCATTATTTAAAAATATATTTCCTTCTAGTTTTTATGTGTTTTCCTTCCTAGTTTTATGCTTTTTTTTACATAGTTGTAACTATGATCACATATATAACTTTAATCCTAATATTTCACCTAACACTTTATTGTAATCATTGAATATATCCCTTTTTAAAAATATTCATGTAGGGGCACCTGGGTGGCTCAGTTGGTTAAGCATCTGACTTTTTTTTAAAAATATATATTTAATACTTATAATATTATTCACAGAGTTCTTGGCTGAATGAAGCATTTTGAGGTTTCTATTGTTGAGAAATTTGAGGTTCATGTTGTCTCTTTTTCAGCCCCAAAAGCTCCCTTTTGAGTTCTCCAGGCTTTGGTGGAATTTCAGGTATTGTCAGGTCCGGCTGGTAGTACCCGCGCACAGCTTCGGCCCCGGCGCACGTGGTCAGGAGGCTGGCAGCGAACGTTTTCAGGGAGGTGGCCCAGGACACGCCCGCGGGCACGGTTGGGGGGCGCAGAATGCACCTGCGTTCCGCCGGGTGTCAGAGGGCGAGCCGCATCTGACTCTTGATTATGGCTCACGGCATAATCTCCGGATCGTGAAATCGAGCCCCGTGTTGGGCTCTGCAGTGGGCATGGAGCCTGCTTGGGATTCTCTTTCTCTCCCTCTGCCCCTGCCCCTCGCTTGCACACACACACTCTCTCTCTCTCAAAAAATAAATAAATAAATAAATAAATAAATAAATAAATAAATAAATAAATGAAATCATGTAATATTCATTATATAGACGGGGCACAATTTGCCTCTAACCATTTTTTCATTGAAGCTTTGAGTTGGGAGGGACCCTAAACCATATATATTCCAACATTTCGCTAAGAAGGAGGGATATTTATCCTCTTTTTATATATTTCCACTGATAAGAAAACAATATATTTTGGGTATCTCATTTATTCAACAAATATATATTTTGAACCCCATAATGTGTTAGGCATTACTGGATGGTCAAGAAGAGGATCCTTCCTCCTGTAGGGAATTATGGTACAATGAGGATTTGATAACTGCCACAAAAGAGCTATGGAGTTTATTGAACTTGCAGAGAAAGGAGTAAAGGAAGTTAATGGAGTGAGGGGGAATGTGAACTAGCATTTAGAGGGTAGCAAAGAGTTTAGAAAGTTAAAAAGAAGGGTAAGAGTTTTCAGCTTCCACCTATTAAGGAGTGACTGCTACCGGCCTAGCTCTCCTCATGCAAACAATTACGTAATGGACAAAACATGAAATATCTGTTTTCAGCTATTGGAAAACATACAGCACAAAACTATAATCTCTGAGAGAAGAGAAACGATTGAAGTGAGCCCTACCATTACCTTAGCTTTCTGCCTTTACACACTTTTGAGATCTGAGATCTAGGAAGGCAGAGCATGATTATATTGCTGAGTTGAAGAGACAAAAATTAGAGTTTGGGGAGGCAAAGATTGAATTGTGTGGTAGAAGAGGAGGGAGGTATGCAGAGAAAGAATTCTAGAAACCTGTATAAGGATCTGCACAAGACTTGAGCTGAATATTGCTAGGAGCTGTACATTGAGTAACTACTGACATTGGTCCAGAGAGCAGACATTTGAGTTCTGATCAGCCAGAGCGGAGGAATCTCACTGAAAACTGGGAGCATTCCTTAGATATGTCAGAAAGGCCACCTTTTAGGAATAGGGTCGAACTAGCCCAAGAATAAAAGCTAATCTAGACCTGCTATAACAAAGTTTAAAAACTGGGTTTGTAAAGATTAAACTGAGCCTTAAGTATCTTTCTTTTTAAAAATTGTAATATAGTTGACTCACACTGTTACATTAGTTTCAGGTGTGTAACATAGCGATTGGAGGGGCGCCTGGCTGGCTCAGTCAGCAGAGCATCTGACTCTTGATCTCAGGGTTGTGAGTTCGAGTCCCACACTGGGTGTAGAGATCACTTAAATAAATAAAAACTTAAAAACAACAACAAAAAACCCATAGTGATTCAACAAGTCTATACATTATGCCAAGCTCACCACAAGTGTACCTACCATCTGTCACCCTATAATGCTATTACAATACCATTGACTATATTCCCTATGCTGTACCTTTTATCCTGTGACTTATTCATTCCATAACTGGAAGCCTGCCTCTCTCCCTGCCCTTCATCCGCTTTGTCCATTCCCCCACCCCTCTGGCAGCCACCAGTTTGTTCTCTGTATTTATGAGTCTGTTTCTGCTTTTTGTTTATTTGTTTGTTTTTGAATCTCAAGTATCTTAACTGTCTACCAATACCAAGCCCAAACTCTTTTTTCAAAAGATTTATTTTATGTATTTATCTTAGAGAAAGAGACGAAGAGAGAGAGAGAGACACAGAGAGAGAGAGAGAGATGGAGAGAGAGAAGGAGCATGAGCAGGGGGAAAGGCAGAGGGAGAAGATCTCAGGCAGACTCTGTGCTGAATGTGGAACCCAATATGGGGCATGATCCCATGACCCTAAGATCATAACCTGAGCCAAAATCAAGATTAAAACGCCTAATCAACTGGGCCACCCAGATGCTTCCCAAGCCAAAACTCTTTAAAGAAAGACAACAAAATTGAGACCCTCAACAACATAACATCCACAATATCCAGCATCCAGTAGAACAATTAGTGGAAATTCAAAGAAGCAGGGAAATGTGAGCACTAGGCAAAGAAAAATGAGGCAATAAAAGATACCAGCAATACTGCAGAAAAGGAAACCCAGACCCTCCTTCCCCCATGGAGACAAGGATTTAACAACAATATAGGAACCAATTGTCTTTGTGAGAAATCCAGAAACCAGGTAAGAGACGCCTGGATGGGCACCTTCCTGTTAGGAGTTCCGTTTCTCTCTTCTGCTTCAGCTACTAAATGGCTGCCTTCTCCACCACTCAACAAAATGACAAATCTGAAACAACATAAACAGGGGAAGTCTAGTGCTTTACTTCATTAGAACATGGCAGACCCAATGGGATGGGAGACCCTGCTACTTCCAGGTTCAGTGAGTATGTAAAATATCCTGCTTCGGGCCTGGGTGGCTCAGTCGGTTAAACGTCTGCCTTAGGCTCAGGTCGTGATACCAGGGTCCTGGGATCGCGTCCCATGTCGGGCTCCCTGCTCAGCGGGGAGCCTGCTTCTCCCTCTCCCTCTGCCCCTTCCCCCCTGCTTGTGCGTTCTCTGTGTCAAGTAAATAAATAAAATAAAATAAAATATTCTGCTTCAACTCTCCTGCTGGTGACTCCATGAGACTAGCTTGCAGCTTCTATTCTAGCCGGAGACAGAGCTGCCTTGAGTCTGGGTACAATGACATCAACCTGCTTTCCTAGTGGCTATGAAGAAATGTATCTTCGACTAACTGATTTCTTATATTTGAGGAAGAATGGTGGATGTCCGTAGGGATCAACATTTGTTGTTTTGTGAAATTTGAAAGTTTGTGTTATTCCAGTGTATTCCTGAAAGTGGGCATGAACTGTTAATGTCCAATCTTTTGAGACGAGTGGACCCCAAACATGGGTCAACAAGAAATAAATACATTTTTGGTTTGAGTGGCAAAGGCTATTCTCTGTAAAAAAAAAAAAAGGGGGGGGGTTTCAGGAGAGAGAGAATAGATAATAGAGAGAGGTTCTTACATCCCAGCCAAACACAATGAAGCCCCAGCAGGAAAACTCTTGGCATTCTCTCACTAGAACTCTTCTCAGCATGGCATGGCATGGCTGGTCTGATTGGGAGGAAACCCTCAATTCCTGACTCCTTCCTTGGGAAACAAAGGAGTGGAATGTACATCCAATGTGCTGATTTTTTGGGGCTCTGCTAAGGGACTGATTTCTGGCTTGCCTTAATCTAAGCACTGATAGGAGTAGGATGTCAGGTTGGGGGCCTTTGAAAACAAAGGCATTCAACATGGCTTGGTCAGGCACCAGAGTTTGCAGTACCATAGAAAGACACTAGGTGGAACTCCAGTACCGCAACTTTCTATACCCCCAGCGAGACTGGCTATTGCAGACAGACACAAGCAGATCTTGAGTAGTTAACTCAAATGTCTACCAGCAAGTAAATAAATAAATATATTGTGGTATAGTCATACAATGGAAAACTACTAAGTAATAAAAAAGAATGAATCATGTTTCCACACAGTAGCATTGATGAATATAAAAGATACTATACTGGGTGAAGGAAGTCAGGCACAAAACATGATTTCATTAGTGTGAATTTCTAGAACAGGCAAAACTTGTTTATAGTTACAGAAATAGGATCAAAGCTTACCTGGTACCAAGGAGGAGGCACTGACTGCTCAGGGATATGGGGAAAGCTTTTGTAGTGATGGAAATGTTCTGAATCGTGTATATATTTATCAAACCTTAGCAAACTGTACACTTAAAATACGTGCATTTAATTATATGTAAATTTTCCCTCAACAAAGGCATGTAAAAATCTAAGTTAAATTCAACCTGAGTAGAGGAAAGGTTGAATTGTCAGAGCTCCCACTGTTGTCAACTCAGAAGTGGTAAGAGTTTCTTTAAGAATAAAAATCATGTTACTGTTTCCACAGGCTCCCTAATCCAGCCTTGCTGAAGGGTGAATGCCACAGGATTCCTGACCTTTCTGTGTCTGCCCTGTTTCCAACTGCCTGTTACTACATTCTGCTCATCTTTTGAAATCTCTTTTGGGTTTTGATGTCTCCTTCTTACCTATCTACTTCTCACCCGATTTGGACATCCTGGTACAGATTTCCCAATGCCTGTCACATACCCTGGAGGTTGCTCTTGTTTTCAGACTGGCCTGGTATCTCTTCTATCATTCTGATTCTGACATACATTCAGCACAGTTTGGTTCTTTGTAATAAAAACATTCACCTGTATACTCCATCCACCCTCAAGGGGACAGTTTCTTCTTCTTCTTTTTTTTTTTTTTTTTTTAAAGATTTTATTTATTTATTTGACAGAGAGAGACACAGTGAGAGAGGGAATACAAATAGGGGGAGTGGGAGAGGGAGAAGCAGGCTTCCCGCTGAGCAGGGAGCCCGACGTGGGGTTCGATCCCAGGACGCTGGGATCATGACCTGAGCCGAAGGCAGACGCTTAATGACTGAGCCACCCAGGCGCCCCAAGGGTTAGTTTCTTCTTGAATAGAGTTGGAAAGTGGGAGTTTTATCTTACGTTCCTCTAGGGCTGTGTTTTTGGGAGTTATTTCTCAGCTGAAAGTGCTGATTTCTACTATTTCCACCTTTTAAAAAAATTTTGTTTATTTATTTGAGAGAGACAGAGAGAATGACAAAGATAGCGAGAGAGAGAGCAGGAGAGGGGAGGAGAGGGAGAAGCAGGCTCCCCGCTGAGCAGGGAGCCTGATGCAGGACTTGATCCCAGGACCCCAGGATCATGACCTGAGCTGAAGGCAGACACTTAACCGACTGAGCCACCCAGGTGCCCTACTATTTCCATCTTGATAGATCCTGACTGAGTTCTCTGATGACCCTGGCCAGGAATTTCCAGGCTACTTCTCTTATTTGGGCTCTGCCCCCTTTCCATGGGCATCAGTGTGAAGGCTGACATAAATGAGGAAATTACATATTAGTGCTCGGTTTTTACTTTTCAGAGCACTGCCATGCAAGATTGGATGGGTATTTCCAACATTCTTTTTAAAAGGCTAGGGTATCAAAGGAAACTTAGATTACTGATTTGATACTTTTCTTCCTTTCTAATAGAAATATTTAATGCTATAAATTTCCTTTATGCACTGCTTTAGCTGCATCCCACACCACAATTTTAAATATTTCTTAATTTCCCTTAAGATTTCCTCTTTGACCAGTTGATTATTTAGAAGTGTGTTCTTTAATCTCAAAATCTTTGGGGAGTTTTCCATGTATCTTTCAGTTTCTGTTTTTTAGTTTAATTTTGTTATGATATTTTAGTTCTATTTTTTGCTTATATGTTATTTTCTTATTCTATCTTATTCCTGTGTGGGTTTGGAATTTGTATATTATATTTATATTCTTTTACAAGTTGACCTGAAAATTCTACCAATATATTTTCAATAAAGTTAACTAATAGCTTAACCATTATCTTATACAAGACCTTAGGAAACTTTTACTTTGAATATTGCCTGACTTACATTATTTTCAATAATTTTAGTTATGAATATCTAGCCCCACAAACTAGATGTTATTATTCTTATTATCTTTGTTACACATCATGTTCCCTAGGAAACAGATTGTGAGAGGGTACTATAGTCAACAAATCTTTGACAAAGAAGTCAATATTCAACAAGGAAAAGATAGTCTCTTCAATAAGTGGTGCTGGGAAATCTAAATATAATTGTGCCAAAGAATGTGAATTGGACTTTTATTTTATTACCACTCATGAGTATTAACTCAAAATGTATTAAGGCTTAAATGTAAGACCTGAAATGATGAAACTCAGAAGAAAAAATAGGGAAAAATCTCCTTGACTTTGGCCTTGGCAATGATTTTCTTTCTTTTTTTTTTAAAGATTTTATTTATTTATTTATTTGACAGAGAGAGAGAGACAGTGAGAGAGGGAACACAAGCAGGGGAAGTGGGAGAGGGAGAAGCAGGCTTCCCGCTGAGCAGAGAGTCCAATGCGGGGCTCGATCCCAGGACCCTGGGATCATGACCTGAGCCGAAGGCAGACGCTTAATGACTGTGCCACCCAGGCACCCGGCAATGATTTTCTGATATGACACCAAAAGCACAAGCAACAAAAATAAAAAATAGGGGTGCCTGGGTGGCTCAGATGGTTAAGCGTCTGCCTTCGGCTCAGGTCATGATCCCAGGATCCTGGGCTCAAGCCCCACATCAGGCTCTTGGCTCAGCAGGGAGCCTGCTTCTCCTTCTTCCTCTGCTTCTCCCACTGCTCATGCTCTTTCTCTGTATCTCCGTGTCTCAAATGAATAAATAAGATCTTTAAAAAAAAGGGTACCTGGGTGACTCAGTCGTTAAGCGTCTGCCTTCGGCTCAGGTCATGATCTCAGGGTCCTGGGATTGAGCCCCACATCGGGTTTCCTGCTCGGCGGGAAGCCTGCTTCTCCCTCTCCCACTCCCCCTGCTTGTGTTCCCTCTCTTGCTGTGCCTCTCTCTGTCAAGTAAATAAATAAAATCTTAAAAAAAAAAAAAAAGATCTTTAAAAAAAACCAAAGAAACAAAAA